TTTGAGGATCCATATTTTTTTCTAGTTGGAGGTATTTCATGGGATTACATGTGGTTGTCCATTCCTTCTTCTAAGTTTTCAATGCTCATCTTGTCTTCTTGGCCCTCTAGGTGGGTGTAACTTGAGGGAGGTCAGGGATGCAACGAGAGTCGAAAGTAGTCCCTTAAAGAGTATTTAAAGAATCTCTAGATGAACTTGCTGTCTGTTAGTCTCAAATGATTAAATAATTGAAAATTGTGGAGGTAAATTGATTTCCTCAGACTAATGCTGTGTTTTTTTTTTTTGGGAGGTTAGTGGGGGATTCCACCCTAGAATGTAGGCTAGTATCCGTGACACTGTCAAGGAGTAACCGCCCCTTGAATTTGGTTTTTAGTTTATTTATTTGGTTAATAGAGTTGTGGGATTTTGATGAGGGATTTACATCCTAGGATAGGATAAAGTGAATATTAGCTTAGGCTTGTGATTCCTTGAGACACGGGAGTCTTTGTAGGGATGTTCAGAAGTTTAGGAAAGGGGCTTATCTTTAGCTATTTGTTTGTTTATTCATTTTTTTATGCACAAAGGGGATAGGGACCTTCACTTGAAGAGCTGAAAATTTTGAACTTTTTTCATTGAAGAGGGACAAAAAAATCATGGTTCCCTTGAAGGAAATGTTTATAATTTGATGGTTCCCTCCCTTGTTTCAAACTTGTATTCTTGTTTGAGAAGGAGCTGATTTGTGAGAGGATGACCCATGTGCTATGCCAGCACTTCTTATGCTCAAGTAGGATGGGTCATGGGTGATATATGTGGGCAACCTCATCCTCAATAAAATAATTGTTAAGTATAGGTTTTTCGAATATAGACCCGATGGTATGTTGGATATGCTATTCGGTTCTTGAGTCTCTTTCATGATTGACTTGCACAGTTGGTACCATCGAATCATGACAGGGCTGGGCCATGAGTAGAAGATGGCTTTTAGATTTGTGATGGGCTTTATGAATGGCATGTTATGCCCTTTGGTTATCCAATGCACCTAGTACGGCTGGCGAAGAGTTGGGCTTGGGCCTGACCACCCCCAGCCCCTATAGGGGCGGCTTAAGCCCAGCTCGGCCCAGTCCTAGCCCAGGCCTGGTTCTGGCCCCATCCAGACCGAATCGGGCAGAATACAAATGAGGAAAATAATGAAAAAAAGGGGAAAATAGGGCCGAACCAGGTTAGCCTTATCATTGCCATGGCCCATACTCATCTAGTCCGGCCCTCGAGCCACATTTTAAGGCCCAAGCCCTAGTTTATAGGGCTTCGCCGGCGAGGCAGTTTGGTTCGTTTGGCCCATTGCCAGCTAAGCACCATTGCCAGCTAAGCACCATGCACTTTTATACTGGTCGTGACTCAGGTACTTGGTTGGTTATTTGGTGATGTTGGGTTATTGGAAAAGTTGTGGTTGGTTATTTTGTAGATGTTCTGGTTTATAATACTAACATGAACACATGGCATTTGCGTCAAGGTTCCTCATCAAGAAAACTTATATGTGAACCTAAAGAAGTGTGCTTTCTTATAGAGTAACCTTGTTTTCCTTGGGTTTGTGGTATTTGTCAAAGAATTGATTAAGGCCATTGTTGAGTGGCCTAACCACAATCAGAGGGAGATGTGAGAAGCTTCCATGGTCTCACTACCTTTTATTTGGGTTTTATTTTCAATTTTAGCAATCTTATTGCTCCTATAGCTGACTATATGAAGCAAGGGAAGTCTTTGTGGTCTAAGGCTGCAGAGAATAACTTTAATCTAGTAATGCCAAAGATGGCTAAAGCACTAGTGTTGTCTTTGCCAAATTCCGAAAAGGTATTTGAGGTGAAATGTGCCGCATCCCACATGGGGATTGGCACTGTAGCTAGCTAGGAAGGGAGGCCAATCACATACTTCATTAAGAAGTTGAGTGAGGTTAAATGTTGTTGAATTCTATACTATTTCCATAGCTTTGCACTGTAGCTAGCTAGGAAGGAAGGCCAATCGCATACTTCAGCAAAAAGTTGAGTGAGGCTAAATGTTGTTGAATTCTATGCCACTCTCCAAGCTTTTCGTCATTGGTGTCATTACTTGATCCTAAGGGAGATTGTTCTTCATTCAGAGGCAAATCGCATACTTTAGTAAGAAGTTGAGTGAGGCTAAATGTTGTTGAATTCTATGCTATTCTCCAAGCTTTGCATCGTTGACGTCATTACTTGATCCCAATGGAGCTTGTTCTTCATTCAGACTATGAAGCTTGAGGTATGTGAAATTCTCAAAAGAATTATCATCATCATCAAAGCCTTTTCCCATGAAGCTTGTATTCATTTCGAATTCTATCCCTTATTGTCTTGTTACTGATTAATCTCAACATCCTCATCTCTACTGCACTCTCTCTATAGGCATATTGTTTTTAACTGGTCAACATTCTGCCCCATAGATCAAAGCTAGTCTCGCAGCTGTAGTATAGAATTTGCCTTTCAGCTTCATTGGTATGTGGTGATCACATAAAATTCCGGTTGCACATCTCCACTTCACCCACCCCGCTCTAATCTTATGTGAGACATCTTCCTCAATCTCTTCATTTTCCTTGATTATCGACCCAAGGTATCAGAAGTGCACTCTTTTGGTATTTCTTGGCCATCAATCTTACCTACTTTGTCATCTCTACTCATATTATTACTAAGCTTGCATTCCATATACTCTGTATTAGTCTGACAAATTTTAAAATCTTTAGATTCTAGAGCACCCCTCCAAAGTTCTTTGTGTTGACACCATTTCGGGTCTCATTGATCAAAACTATGTCATTTGCGAATAAGAGATGTTGGGTACTATATGTCAAGAGATGCACTATTTGTCAGTTGACTAAGGATCAAGCTTTGTAAATGCAATTAGTTGTACCTAGAACGCTTTGGGAGCATCATAGTATGGATTTTGTTTTGGTTCTTCCTGAAACTCAATGAGGTAATGATTCTATGCTTGTTGTAGTCGATCGCTTCTCAAAGATGGCTCATTTTTCTTTGCAAGTAGACCATGATGCAACCCATTTTGCACACCTATTCTTCAAGGTGATCATGTGTCTTCATGGAGTGCTTCAATTTAGCGGTGCATATCATCCACAAACTGATGTGCAGACGAAGTGTTAAATAGAAGGTTGGGAAAGTGGTTTAGAAGTATGGTGGGGTGCTGATCAAGCAATGAGATTCGGTGCTACGACAAGTAGCGTTCACTTATGACAACTCCTAAAATTAAACTATCCATTTGAGGCAGCAGCTTATGGGAAAAATCTAGTGAGGTTCTTGATTTGGTGCCTTTATCAATTGAAGCTAGGCTAGTAAGGATCCCAAGCGTATTGACGAGTGTGGGCATGAATTACATAAGCAGATGAGAAAATAGAAGAACGCAATGTTAAAAACTTTAAAAAAAAATAGTAATATCAAATATAAGATGGAGGCCAATTCCCATGGAAGTTTCAAAGAATGTCAAGTTGGTGATCTTGTTCTGGTTTTTTTGTGAAAAGGAAGAATTTCAACTGGGACCTATCATAAGATGAGGTCCATGTAGCTAAAGAAGATGGGAACCTATGCTTATGAAATTGAACTTCCAGAGGACTTTAATATATCTCCCATTTCTAGTGTGGCAGATCTTTATGAGTATCATGGTGACTACGGCAGTGAAGGCCTGAGAGATGATTGGCAACAACAATATCCAGAAGGTCCTACTATTAAAGCGCAGCAAGTCCTTGATGTTGATGTCAGCATGACCTATGGAGGTGAATACCAGAAGATCTTGTTGCATGGGTGGGAAAACTTCATTCAGGGAGTACGTGGATTTCAGAAGTTGTTCTATGGGCGCCTCAAATTTGATACATACACACACACCCCCCATATATAATTTACTCTTTTGTTACTTCTCATTTATTACTTAGATGGAGTCATGATCTAATCGTGGTATTTACTGAGTTTTATATTTCCTTTAGAATTGTGGGATTTTGATGAGTTACTAGGATAGGAAAAAGGTCGAAATTTGATTAGGCTTATGGTTCCTTGAGGATTGCAAGCCTTTGTGGGAAAGTTTACTAGTTCAAGGAAGGGGCTTATCGTTATTTGTTTGTTTATTTATTTATTTATTTATTTTTAGGTTTAAGGGGATAAGCGGTCTTCACGTGAGGGGCTGAAAATGTAGACTTTTTTCCATCAAAGAAAAATTCTCTCTCTCTCTCTCTCTTGTTTCAATCTTGTGGTTTGTTTTTGTTTTGGATGTTCGTTGTTGAAATTTTCTGGTCTTTGTCCTCTCTATTCTCTCTTGATATTTGCCGCATCAAATCATCAACACCAACCAGACAACCCAATTCCCAACACTCAAACTAATGTTCAAGTTCATAGCATTTCTCTTTTGCTTCAGTTGATTCAGGGGCGACCATATTATGAGCGTTTAGCCCACACGTGGTGATTTTTGGTATTGCTTTTATGTAGACCTCTCTCTTCAGAGATGGAATTTATACAGTGGTCTTTTTTTCTTGTCATTGTTTTCTAATATAAGGCATCAGATTTGAGTGTGAAACATAGGAACCAGATGCTATCCGTCACATTACTAGGTTGTAGTGCTAGAACCTGCATTTATTTGCCTGTCATTGTTTTGTGATGCGTGTGTGTGCGTGTGTGTGCTCGTGTGCGTTTATGTGCATATATTTTCTTTAATTATTTGAGATTTGATTACTTGAATGAATTTTGGTTCTAGCATGGTCATCAATATATCTGAAGAATGACCTGAATTTATAATACACGAAAGGAGCATATGCATCTTTCTTCTGATAGAGGATCTTTCTCGTACACTTGGTTTCTTAAATTGGCAGTACTGGATTATGCCTTTGAATGGTTTTCTACATTAAAGGAGACTTCTACCTTCTTGGAGTTTTGTTATGTGGTTGTGGATTTGTCTCGCTAATGCCTTAGGTGTGATGTGCTTGATTCCTGCGGCATGCATGATACTGATCTCTTTAATATATGATGCAGGGGAATATTAAATATTGGGCAAAAGCGTTTCAGAAAAGCCTTGGAATATTTGCACCATGTATGTGGCACTTGAGCTTAGCTGCCTTTTGTTAGTCTTCATACTTGTCTGTATTGGTAATTAAATTACTGTGTTTTCCAGGCGATTACTGCTCCAATGACAGTGTTAAACACAGTAGCTGTTGAAGCGTACAAGAAGTACATTCTGGTTTCACTTATCCACACCGGTCAGGTCCGATTCAATTCTCTTGAACTCACCGTGATCTAGGCTGTAATAATATATTATATTTTGCCTCATGAAAATGAATAATTTTAGTTGACAAGTTTGATGTTATCGGCATCTTCACTCTATAGTAGTAGCTAGCATATTCTTCAATTTGCTCCTGTGTATTTGGTTACCACTGATGCCTTTGTCCTCAACACCTTGTCAATGTTCAAGAAGATGGAAATGGCCGCCCAGGCGGTTGGAGAGCCAATGTAAGGGACTAGAGGGGGGGGTTGTAGGGTTTTCAATTATGGAATCTAATTTCTTATAAACTGAAATTTACATGATTGAAAATATAAAGCTGTAAAATTACCCAAATTTTGACATCCATTAGCAATTTAAGCGAAAAGACAAAGTCATATAACTTATAAATTGTAAAATTGTCCAAATTTTGACATAAATGTATATCCATAAGCATTTCAAACATTACTTTGAACTTGAAAGTTTTGAAGTTCAACTTCAAAGCATTCGACTACCCAAAAAAATTACAACACATTGTAGGGTTCGAAAATCCAAAGTTCCAAACATACAAACATGAGTACAGGGCACTAAAAAGAATTAAATGATCATGAACTTACAAAGGGCCCAATTGGATTCCATCATCATTCCAACAATATCATCTCGTCTCTCCCACCAACACTCTCAAATGATGATGGTACCATGCCATCATTATCAGAATTATCTCCCTCTGATACATATCGGTCTTTTTCATCGGTCTTTTCTAAGTCTTGTAGCTCTGGCTCCTCTTCCTCCTCCCTCACTCTTTTAGGTTGTCTTTTCTCCATGTGCTTGGACCCCTTGCTAAGAGATCAGGACCCTTCCTTTGAGACTGAGAACCCCCCCTCCTTTGAGATTGGGAGCTTGTGGTCCTCATGGGTTACGACTGGGTTCCCATAGCTTGCCTCACTTGACTTCATATGAAGCCCTCTCCAGCATGTACGAAATCTCCATCTTCGGACTTGATCAACCACTCACATGAATCATCTAACTCTTTAATGTTAATAGGATCAATGGAATCTTGATCCATGGCAGTCCCTCAATTTCTGATCGTACTGAACGTACATGAGATTGTTTAGTCATTTTTGCTCAAGTTTGTTTCTCTTTTTGGTGTGTATTTGTTTCATAAATCATAACGCATATTGCATAACTGACTTATAATCTAAAACAAAATTACATTCAAGGTTAGAAAATGCTAGGCGGCTGGCCTGGTGCCCAACTCCCAGTGCCTAGGTAAGTGCCCTGACCCCTATAGTGAAAATTATGTAGAAATATACATCTATGTACTGTCCAAATGCACATATATGCATATATTTATGTTAACTTTGCAATTTTTTGCATTTACATGTATTGTAAATAACCTAACATATCGCATGTTAAGAATAAACATGTACAACGCTTCAAATCATAGAAAATTTAGTGAAAAACTTAAAAAAGTCCATGGATTTTGGGCCTGGATAAAACTTAAGATTTGTTTTTTTCAATTTAGTGAAAAACTTAAAAAAGTCCATGGATTTGGGATCTGGATAAATCTTAAGATTTGTTTTTTTCAATTTAATGAAAAAACTTAAAAAAATCTTAGATTTCTTTTTTGATTCGCAGAGATCTCAAAATCAATAGATTTGGGGCTTAGATTTCAATATGTTTTGACTTTGGGGTTTAGAATATCCTTGAAGACCTTTTATGAAAAAGCGTGGATAAACAATGACCCAAAGGCCCCCCCCCTAGGGGCGCTTTGTTCTAAAAAATGGGCGCAGGCCCTAGGCAGTCACCTAGGACTGGGCCCCCTCCTAGCCACCCGCCTAGGCCACTGGGTAGGCGCCTAGGTACTGGCACCTAGGGAGGGCGGCTTAAGCCTTGGTGTGCACCCTTGGTACCGATGAGCAACATGTTAAATTGAGTATAAGACATTACCATCTCAAAAATTAGATAGGTATAAGACATTACCATCTCAAAAATACTAAGATTGCGCTCGCATCTTGATGAGCTACATGTTAAATTGAGTATCCATGTAGCCGTCCTTTGTAACTGCTTAGGACTTGACCCATGGTTGGTCCACCATGTACCTACATCACAATGTTAGATTTTATAAAAATTGAGTAATAAAGAATAGAATAGACTTGTCTTAAACTCTAAACGAGGAAGATAAATTTAGCTTACCTGCCTTGAGAGTTTTGTACAATGGGGATGAGTCTGACCATGCATGTATTGATGACATCCATAAAAGAACCCTGGGTCTCAATCTATGGATTGTCACAAAATAAGCAGGGTTCAAATAGTAGCCTGTCAAGTGAAGGGGCCTCTCAAGCTTTGAGTCCCACCTACGTTCTGCAATATCCAAAATAGGCCCATATTACTTACCATTGTGATTAAAATTTTGCTTGATTTCCTCCTTGGAAACTTCCATAACCTTGTAAATATGACCGGTAGGTGGCTTCTTCTCGCTATTTACTAAGCGCAAAACTTTAACAAGTGGCTTGAAGGCTTTAATGGACCGATCAACCTTTTCCCAAAAGCTTCTTGATATGATAATATAACAACCTTCCTCCCCTTTGCATGAATAGACCACTTCAATTGGTTCCACTCGTTAGAAACGAACATTTGCTTAAATTATCTTTTTCACTTTGAAGCAACTTCAAGCACATATAAGAGGTGGCAAATCTAGTCCCCCTTTTTTTTTTGACAATGTTACATAGGAATGGAACTTGAGACATTGGGCTATAAAAACCTAGCCTCTACCGTCTTGACCCAAGTCCGTTTCATTTAAATCAAAACCAAGACACATGTGTGGTTGTAAATGAAACGTGTCACCATGCTTTCCTATCAATGTCTTGAGCATGCTGTCAATGCAATGTGCCGCGCGTGGGGTTTAAAAAATGTGAGGCTTACTTTTCTCAAGCTCCCTACCTGTTGCTATATTATGGTCAGCCATATCAGTAACCACCTACATGATGCTCCCCCACCTCCTCTATGCATTTCTCAACCAGCTCCAGAATGAATGAAGCATCATATTCTTTATCAGATGCATCAAATGAGCGAAAAAACATTGTCCCTTATGGACAATTTACCATCAAATTCATTACACTCCTAGGCCTCTGGTCAGGCCATTCATCAGTCATTATGGTTACCCCAAACCAGCTCCATGCATCCCTTCGAGTCTTAAGATGCTCATTGGTCAGTTCTAGCACTTTTTTAAGTAGAGGGCCCTTGAGCTCGTATGGTGTAGGAACTATATATCTGGACCCAAATTGGCCCACTGCTTCGACTATGGCCTGTAAGCCCTTCAAAGTAGTGGCATTGAAAGAGATGCCTGCTTCGAAAATCCACCTGGCCACATACTGATCTACTCTTTCTTTTTGATCATTTTTTTGATGGCTATCCTCGAGCTGCAACAGTAGGATCACGGGGGGTGGGGGGTGAGTGAGTCTCTATAGGCCCTACAACTACATGGCCTACTATTCCCAATCTCCACGTCTATGACAAGCTTAGCACTACTTTCATACTACTCTTCTTCTTGTCTTTGATTCCAAATATCTACTGATTACGTAATTACATCCACTTATTTTTTTTTCGCCTCTTCTTCTCTTCTTGAACCCTTCTAGAAGCCCCTATATTTCATTCCTTACTTCTATTGTGACTTGTGTACAAGGTGCAACATCCTCTTTTATCCCTGCCAGATTCTTCTTGAATCTATTAATTGCATATGAATAGACCTTCTTACAGTAATTGCATTGGATCTTTTGTTTGTCCAATGGATTTGGGCATGTCCCATGCTTCCACCTCGGACAGTTTGTTTCCCAGTAGAACCAGAAGAAGACAGTGTGAATATATGAGTATGCGATAACTCAAGAATCAACACTCAGTATAGCTTGAAAGTATATAAAACTCGATATAGTCAAAATTAGCCAATTGCATATATTTTGAAATATGAATTTTCTATGAATTTTCAGTTTAGCTAAATTTATCAAATAGAAACATAGTCAAACATTGAGTAATATTCTCCAATTTGGTATTACAAATTGAAAACATAGCTAAACATATAGTAATATTTTCAATTTTGCATTATAAAATATAAACAAATGCAAAAAAGTAGCTAACCATTTATTATGAATATTTGATTTTACATTATAAATTATGAACATAGCCAAAAAATATGGACAAAAATATATATATATTTTTAGAAAGTTAACCATGGACAAAAAATATATTATAAATAAATTTACATCATACAATGGAAATAAATCCAAAGATAGACAAAAGTACATTATGAATTTTCACTCTTGCATTAAAAGCTAGAAACAAAGCCAAACATATCCACACAATATATTATAAAATTTTGATCTTGCACTATCGAGTAGAAAAATAGCTAAACATACCCCAAAATATGATATAATCACAAAAGTGCAAGCGGATATTAAAAACAAAAAGCACTCAAGAAATTCCATCATAAATGTCATGCCAAACTGCAAATATAAACACAAGAAAATTAACTTAAAAAAACATAACATAAGACAATACTCAGAGTAAAAAGAAACCCTAAACATAAACCGTTAAATCTAAAAACCTTTCCAAACCCAATCAAAAGTAGGGTTCAGTCGGATACTTTTGGATGCCCAAAACTTCTCTTCTCCAACCTCTTTGGTTGGCAAAAACACCCGAGTCGAATGACTTTCGATTACACAATAAATCGAAAACCTTGAGTTTGAAATCGATTTTCGAAATTGTTTTGATTCAAGCTAAAAAAAGTGTTTTTGGGAGGGAAATCTCTCTCACTAGGTTTTGAATTACGAAAATGCCCTCTTGGCGGGGGCAATTTCCACCCAAACACCATGCTCTGGGCTGTATAGCCCAGGGTGGGTAGTGAGGCCTCCTGCTGTTTATGCCGGTGGCCGATTTTGTGAGCATTGGTTCTCATTAATTCAAATTGAATAATTTTCTCACTACATAATATAAAAACTTCAGTTTGGGTA